CTTTATTAATCTGCTTTATTACTCTGCTTTATTATTCCGCTTTATTATTCTTTTATATTACCTGTGTTATCTTGGAATCCAAACTGAAGTCTTCGTTTTCGTCATCTGAAATCTTTTCTTTTATTAGACTCTTATTTAACTTTTGCTCCAATCCCTGTGGACGATATTYCGGTACTTGTACCACTTTATTACTTGGAAAGACGATGTTGGGCCGTATTGTATACTTGCTTTGTGGCCCAATTTCATTAAGTCTAAAGGTAAAGGATTTGACCGACCAATAAATATGTCACGGACTGTGGACTGGATGCATTGTAGTGGACGCCTGGACGGTAAGGTAACTTTTCTTTTAGGCCCAAAGAAAACTGAACCTATACCTAAACATTGGGCTTTAATTTTTTGATGCCCTTGGGCCTTGTGCTGCCCTGGGCCATCACCCCCTGGGCCTATGGCCAGGGCCGGCCCTGCCGGTTGTGATAATACTCATCAAAATTGATCGTTTCTTTGAAGTCAAACTCTTATAGTAAAATGGATTTCGAAGCGTTCAAAGGATCTTCACTTCCTTGAGTGGAGTGGTGTGGTGAACGAGTTTTCGATGGTTAACGTCCGTTTTCTTTTTGCCTGTGTTGTGCCCTTTCAGTTTTCAAGCGCTTTTTTCGTTCCTGCGTGCTTCGTATTGGGTTGTTTTCCTCTCATTTTTAAGTGTTAGAGGATTTGTTGGTCGGCTTGTTTTCGTGAGGTTTTTTTGGTTAGATTTCTATTTCTTGCAAAATTCCTGCCTTTAGCCCTCTTGTACATTATTTTTTCCGTCTTATAAATTTTTCTTGCTTTAAAAAAAGGATATTGTTTATTTATTTCGTAGAAGTTTTTAAATCTTTTTGAGTTTTATAAAACCATCTAAATATAACACTTTATATCCATATAGTTTTGAAATTACAAGATGGTTATCGTAGTTTGTAAAAACGTCCGGATTTGGTTCATCCCTCTGATGCCTATTAAAGAATTCGTTAAAACGAGGGGTATTTTTGTTTTTTATCGATTTTTTTGTCTTTTACTTAATCAAAAACCAGTTATATGATTTTGGTTCCTGTAGTTTTTGATTGGGTAAAAGACAATTTTTTCGATAAAAGGATGAAAAGTTATCTTATCTAATGGAATTATTTAACAGTCATTAGAGGACCAAACAAATCCCGACATTTTTGCAAACTATGATGACCATCTTGTAATTTTGAAACTTTAGAAACAAATTACAGAAAAGAAATAGAATTTTATAACTTTTAAACTTTTGAGATCCGACAGGAGGAGGTTGATGAAATTTTGCGCCGAGAAGAGATCCGAAACAGGGAAGATAAGATCCGGAAGAAAAAGTATGCTGAAATGATGGATATGATGAAAAATTTACATAATCTCAACAGTTTCGGCCGACCTCGCCGCAATAGACTTGATATATTATATCTATGAATTAGTGTCATCAATCGTATTTGTATATGTATATTATTTCGTCCGAATAATCATATCAGGTATTTATGACGAATTTGTGTATTGTGTATTGTATATTTGTATTATTTTATAGGATCTTTATATTTTTAGGATTCTGGATTAGGAGGTTTTTTGGTTTTTTTTTTCTATACCAGCTACATTTCTGACGGATTTCCGGTGGAGAATCCGTCAGTAAATAATTAAATTTAAGCTTTATTAAAAAGAAATCTGGCGGATTGTCTGACGGAAAATCCGTCGGTAAATATTTTCGTTCATTAAAAATAAAAACATTTCATATTTTAAATAAGAACAAATATTTTTTAAATATAATTACCGATGGAAATTCCGATGGATATCTGTCAGAAATTTGTATTTTTATTTTTGAAATTAAAACCGGTTATTACTTTAAATAAAAGATAAAAAAAGGAAATGTAATTACCGACGAATTTGTCGGAGATTCTGTCGGTATGCTAATCACATTTTCTATAACTTCTAATTAACTCGGAAAAGGTATAACATGTTATAAAACTGTTCAACGGATTTCTTGCAGGTTTTTTCCGCCAGAAGATACAAATCCGTCAGAAATTCCATCGAAAATTGCATTTAGCGGCAGGGGTTTTTCCAACGGCAAAATCCGTCAGAACCTTGTTTTTCAGACGGATTTTGTCGCCGGAAAAACCCCATTTTTTAGTAGTGTTTGTAAAAAAAATTCAAGCTCGATAGTATTTCTCGAGCTGAATTTAAACATCCTGCTACTCAACTCAACTTGTAAAAAAGAAATGATTTGTCAAAATTAGTGTTTTCCCTGAACTATATTTACACAACGTTCATATATAACAACTCCTAACATTATTTACTCTACAAGAACATATAAATTTGTAACATCGAACACGACAAAAATTTAGTGTCCCATATTATATCTGATGTTTACTCGAAATACGTTATCGCATCGATGATCTTCTCGTATTTCTAGACTGATAGATCTCCAATTTCCGTCTCCTTTCATTGACGAGCGTTTTTTCTAACGAACCTTGCGGAAAATAACATTTTTTCTACGCCCATTCGAGCACAAGAAGCCATTTATAACATCCAAAACAGACAAAACTTGTCGTCTGATATACGGTATTTGTCGTTTTACTCAAAAAAACGTTATCGTATCGATGATCCTCTGATATTTCTAGACTGATAGATCTCCAATCTTTGCTTCCCTTCATTGATGAGCGTTTCTAATGACGAATCTTTCGTGAAATGATCTTGTTTCAACGCCCATTCGAGCACGACAAGGACTTTGTCTTGAGCTAGTATCTCGCTATCGGGTACATGAATCGAAAGGTAGCAAAGAAGGATCAGGGCCGGGAATTGAGCCATTTGTTCGCCAAAATAAGTTAGCTGAATCAAGTGCTTAACACCACCCGCATCTAATATCGACTTGCAATGAGTTACGTGAAGAAAATTATCAGTACAAGCAAACTTGATCAAAGTGATCGTTGCTTCGGTCGATACGTGTGTTTCGGTGTCTTCTAGAAGCTTGACTAATGGTGGAATGATTCGTGTTTCGGTGGCTCGAAACGTTCTCGCCAAGTGGCCGATCGCTTGGATGCTTTGGATTAGAAAGTCCGAGTTAGCGTGTTTGATGATTTTAAGGAATTGGTCGATAACGGCTCGAGCAGCGGGAGATGTCGGTTTAAATCCCGAATGTCTTAATTCGACGTGTTGTTCCGCCACCGCGGTGATCTCCGTTAGTGCCATTGCGGAGTTATATTGTATTTCATACTCGCCTCTTTCGAGAAGTACTGCAAAACAAAGAAGCGCTCGTGACTCGGTTATGCTCTTGCAAATCGAGACGTTGCCCGCACAGAGGTGCCATAATGCTCGAGCCGCCATCGCCTTCATTTCAGCTTTCGTGGACGGGTCTTCGGCTTCCCGCTCTCTAATGCTAATCCCGGTTAGTGTGATGTGTTTTCGGTTGTTTCTTGAGGGTTGGTGCTTGTTCGGTCTTGTACTCGTGCTTCGACTATGTGCCCTATCGTTATGAATCTTTCTAGATTTCATAGTGACGGTATTCGTCACTACATTATGCATATCGCTCGTTTTTGAGCCTGCGGGATGTAAAAGCTGACACTTTTCGACATCCTCATTTCCATCTCGGTTGTTTTTGTTAGGGTTTGTCTCGGAATTGGCCATAACTACTGTATGGATCGACATATTCTGCTTGCTAGCAATGGCGTATCGGCTATGCTCTTGAATTGTCTCGAACGCTAAATGGCCAACGAGCAATCGGATCACATTGTTTTGCATGAAATGTTCTTGACATTTCGGGTAGTTTGTGGCTAATTCCGATACGGCCCATGCCACGACTACCTGTACTTTCATTTCCGCAAATTTCAATATTTTCATGAACGCCGAGCAAACACCAGCATTCAAAATGTGTTCCACGCTTTCAGGGTCGCGACCAAGTAGCCCGATCGCTCTTGCGGCATTTTCTTGCCCTTCTGAATTTCCTTCTTTCGCAAGTCTCAAAAGCGGTGGTATGCCGCCTTCCTCAATGATCAATTTCCCATACCGCTCGTTATCGCGTGCTAACGACACGAGTGACGCCGCACCATCGACTCGCTCCTCCACCGTACCGGAACACATGATCGCGATTTGTTCCCAAATCAGGCACAAGATCGGCTCGTTAGCGGCAATAGGAGGCAATCCGAGATACTCGTCGTCACGATCATCCGCTGGAGTGGATACGCGAAGGAGCCACGACACGTCTCCGATCGAATTCTCGATTTGCTGCGACGTTTTCCGTGGAAGACCGTTAGGGATTATCTTGAACACCCGTCGAAGCCCGTTTCGACTACATTTCATTACGAGGTGTAACGCTTTATCGAGAACTTGCTCGGTGTCCTCCATGATCCTTCGTGTGGGTCGTTCGTAGAGATCGTTACTGGCACGTGCCGCCTGCCGAAGGAGGCCAACGAGCTTTTCCGTCTTGTTCTTGATCTCGCCACAATCTTGCTTGAATGAACAAACGTATTCCGATGTTTTAATGATTTGGTCTGCTAATTGTATCGGCCTTGCAATGATCTGTTTCACGATATCGGCCATTGCCACCAGCAGACCGCCACTTCCACGGTGGTCGGAATATTCTAGAGAAGAGAAATTGATGATTCTTTTGGTGTCGTCCTTCCTTCAAAATGGGGAAGTGAGGATATTATGGGTTCCCTGCAATCTGGGTTTCTTGGTGGTGGCGGCGGCGAACGGTGGCGATACTTGATGGTGATGGTGATGGTGATCGGAAAAGTTTTTGGATCAAGAAGGTGTCGTAAGGAGCATTTTGGTGTGCCAAAAATGGTAATCGATATACCATGTTTATAGGGAGTGCAATGCCGGATGAAAATTATTTTATATTTAAATAAAAAATTATCAATCGGATATTTTTATTATATATTTTTAAATTAGTCAACGTAAATCAGCAATAATAATTAAAAGGATATCATTTTATTTAGAGTAAATTACGATTTTGGTCTTTATAGTTTGAGAAGATTGCGATTTTCATCCCTGTGGTTTTGAAATAACGATTTTCAAGAAGAAGTTAACTGGTTGAGATTTTTCAATCCACACTAGTTGGGTTAGGTTGTTCAAGCACTTTCAAACCGACCCATCAGGCTATTCAAACACTTACAATCTGACCCATCCAATCCATGTGTAACTGTGTTTAGGAGTGCACAAAAACCCAATCAACCCAACCCAACCTAACTCAATGCGGAATGACTTAACCCGAAACAACTTGATGTCTAATCGCATTGTAAAATTTTCAAATTGTAGGTATTGAGTTACTATTATTTGAATCCAATCCAATCCGATGAACCCGATATCATTTTATTTATTGGATTTAATATGATTATTGATTTTCTATTAGTATATACATTAGACAATTACACTGTATGCTCTTTTATATACACATGTTTTCAATTTATACACATATTTATATAACTCATTTGTATATATGTTCAGTAACTGTGGACATATATATTGAGAAAATTAACTGAATGTGATATACATAAGAAGTATGGATAAGTCGCATCAAATTGTTGATGATGAAAAGAAAATTATGAATAGAGAAATAACATATTGAAGGTTAGAAGAATATTCTAATGTACCAAAGTATCAACCCGACCAACCCATACGGTTTGGGTTGGATTGAGTTGTTCAAATGTCTTCAACCCAATCAACCCAACCCATGAGCACCCTTAACTGTGTTATAATCAATGGACTATCTAGACCCATATTTATGTTTAGAAAGAAAAAAAATCAATTCAACATATTTAGCTACGAATATACACAGAGAGAAAAATTCAGATGCAAACATGATTTCTATTGTGAATAGGGATGATGATTTGTCCCTACCCGTTGGGGAACCTACCTCACCCGATCTGAACGGAGATGTGGATTCCTGCTAAGACGGGTCCCGAGACCGGGCCGAGTAGCATATCCCCCACCCCACCCCCAC